CCGGCCCGTGAAAGAACCGCGAAAACTAGAAGGAGAACATGGAAGTGCTTTTGATTTGAGAGAGAGCACAAGAAGAAGAAGATGACTTACAGAGCGCAGCGTTGGACGACGTCATTGGCGATGGAGGAGAGGTGTTTCAGAGAGGTCGTCGTCGTCGCCATTGTTGCGGTGATTTCGACGATATGGCGAAGCGTCTGAAGGAAGAAGAGAGACCTTCGGTTGTAATGGCTACGCAGTGAAAGGTGCGGTGCGTGTCGTACGTGTCGTGCTGTTACTCGGCCACGTGGCAGTCCCATGCAACGCTTTTTGCATGCCAAGGAGGACCTTTGGGCTTGCTAGAATCTCAACTTCGCCTCTTATGGATATTGTATATTTTAAGTTTAACCATATTTTATTTTTTAAAATAATTTTGAATTTAATTTTGATCTAAATTTTCCATGTTTGTTTGAATTTTTATTCCAAACTTTCACTTTAACTTTATTGAATAAATTATTACAACATTTACTTTAAGGACTATATATAAATCACAATATTAAAAATTAGATATGTATTTGAATTTTTTTTTAACATTCAGATTGAACAGATATAAATTTAAAAGTTTACGGACTAAAACTCATAACAATTATTTAGAATAACAAATGATAAAAATGAAATAAATTTGAAAATTTATACCATTTTTAAATAACATATTATTTTGCATGCACAAATATAATAGTTTTTATTAAGATTGCAAGTTGATAAAGTTGATATATCCTTTTATTTTTTAAAATATTTGACTTATCTTTTTAAGTAATACATTTGTTTCGTAAAAGAATATTCAATATTAATTTTGTCATCACGCTTCATTCTTTATAACAATTAGATGTATTTAATTATAGCGTCATTTAACATTTACCCTAAGTATTCGATTAGTTAATTAATTTAAATACGATCCAATTAATTAGTACATGTAGTATATTCAAATCCGATCTAGACTAGCTGCCATAAAGAGCTCAAGATACTCGGATTAGTTCAAAGGCTCGGGACCAAGGGGCGTAGCTGCTATTTCACCGGGAGTGAATGACGCTAGGGCTATTTTCCACTCGTTATTGAACTTAAAAAATAAATAATCAACGTAGCAAATTGTAATATCTCCCGGTAGATTAATAACGAGTAAGCATGTTGATTAGGTGGAATATCAAACTAGCTAGCAAACTAATGGGATGAACGATAGAATTTCATTATATAAATAAAATTAGAATAATAACAAAATTTTAACTAAAATAATAGAGACAAAAAAAATTGTCCAAATGGTTCCTTATCCTTTTGGAAAATGGTGCCACCGAGAGATGGGGAGAAGGCAGGATTTATATTTTTATGTGTATTGTCCTACCTTCTTTCAAATAATCTTCCAAAATTATTGGAAAGATAATTCCATATATTTTCATATAAATGTTTGTATAAAGACGAGAGATAATAATTTATATTCCGTCAGGATCTGAAGCGTATGTTTAGATTGGATAAATATTTTTATGGTGGAAGAATATATTTGGTCCGACTAAACTAACTATATAATCCAATTTAATTTGTAACGGTTTAGTTTATATATTTTTATTAAAATAATAATTTAATTTCTAAACTTTAGCGGGTAATAATTTAGTCTATATAATTTAAAATTTGTAATCATTTAATTCATATCGTAACAAAATTTATTAAAATTAAGTGTTAAATTATATCTTATAACGATTTAATATTTGTATTTATAAACATATTTCGTCACCCTTTAGTTTATCAATCTATATATATAAAAAACTTAACAAAAAACGATAAAGACTAAGTCGTAATCAATTTTAAATTACAAGAACTAAATTATTAAAGTTCAAAAACTAAATTGTTACCAGTTTGAAAGTACATGGATTAAATCGTTACAAACCAAAGTTCAGAGACTAAATTGTTACTTTAATGAATGTATAGGGACCAAAAATATTTTTTAACCTATTTTTATTAATATCAACGGATCAAATAGTATAAACTTATGTCCAGTTTGAATTATAGACTCGTAGTCTATGTGGTTAATATTTGATTACCACTAAAAAAGCCATAATTTTCAAAATTGATTTCCCATATGTGTGTAAGTATTTTTGAAAGAGTTAAATATTATTTTAATCAGTATACATTCTATATGGGTTTATTTTTTTAATACAAAATGTGGAGTGAAGGATCGAACTCTAATTAAGAAATTAGAGATATATGTCAATTACGGTTGAGTTATGCTCACAGTAATCAATAAAATTTATTACAATAAAATGATAAATTTGACATATAAAATTTCTATCTACGATCAAAGAGATGCGAGCTTGAGCCCATGTGTTATACTATAATAATAATAATAATACCGTGTGAAATTAAATAATTTCCAAGGGACTCAATTATTAAATTATTCCCATACGTGGCGGGCCATGATTGGTCAAGTATCGTGTTCTTCAGAAATCGCAAAAAATAGAAAGCTCAGAAGCCCCTCTCTCTCTCTAGTTTCGCATTGCAGCTCGATTTCAATTTTCACCTGCAGAGTTGCAGACTTTCTTCTCTCTCAGCTCAGCAATGAAGGGCGTCTCTGATCCTTCTTCTCTCGTTCGCCTCAACATTGGTACGTCCTCTCACTTTTCGTCTCCATCGTTCGCATTAAACTCCGTAATTCAACTGCATTCACAAAACCTATAATCGTTTCCTCGAACTGAATGAATTCAACTATCTATTTCAACATCGCCAGAAATTTGTGGCATACTGTTGGTGTTACTTCTGTTTGGATGTTGTTGTAATTAGTAATTGGTTTGATACAGCGTCATTCCTGTCTATAATTCTGTTGCGTTTGTTCATCCAGTGTTAATCGAGGAGGAATTTGGGTTACGTACGATGCTGTTTTGTGAAAGTTTCTTGTTTAATTGCAGGCGGGAAGAAATTTAGAACAACATTAGATACGTTGACTCAGCGTGAGCCGGATTCGATGCTTGCTGCAATGTTTAGTGGCCGGCATACCTTATGCCAGGATCCTGAGGAGGTGGGCGTTTTCACAGTTTTGGATTTTGTTTTGTTGAACGAGTAGTAATTCGTTTTATTTCAACGGGAATACAATTGGATGTTTGTGGAAATATGTTGAGGTTCTACTACCATGGAACTTTATTCTCTATTTCACTCTCGTTGTATGTGAGTTTTTATCTTGAAATCTACTCCATCTATATTCCAAACATTAATATTGTATTTGATGCAGGGATCTGTCTTTGTGGACAGGGATGGGAAACATTTTCGACACATTCTCAATTGGTTAAGGGATGGAATAGTTCCAACTCTTTCGGACTCTGAGATTGCAGAGCTTCTGCGGGAGGCAGAGTATTATCAGCTGCTCGTGAGCCATCATTCCTTCTTGTAGTTCAAAAATACATGTTTTAATCATATCCTACTTCCACGAGTTTTTATTTATTTTCCGTGTCAGTTTCTTGTTGAAGGAGCTATTTTATTTATTAACGGTGAGGGGGCGCTAAAATTTTGATTCAGGGACTTATAGATGGAATCAATGATGTGATAAGTAAAAAGAAGGAAGATGAGGAACTTGAGTCAGAACTGAAGCGTGTTGATATTATCAAGTGTATACAGTCTGAGAAAGTTAGACTGCGTGGGGTTCACCTTTCTGGCCTTGATCTTTCTAAGCTGGTAATTATCTAATTTTTAGAATTGTGGGAAAATAATTTTCTAAATAAAGAAACAATCTTGATATTATACATGAATTTGCGAAGGAAAAGGCCAGTACAAGGCAAAATCTTACAATAAAGGCCTCTTGTTTGCACAAATTGCACCAATAATAATTTGTAGGAGTAAAATTTGGTAAAGTTGGGAGTAAAATCTTTGCCACTAGGGGTTATAGGCAAGTAGACCTGAACCTGCTTCCCCATCTCCCATAAGACTTTAGTGTGGAAAGAATAAAATTAAGCTAACCCATATACAATTTGCGAAAAATACTGGTTTATTTTGTTTTACTAGGGAAGACTCCTTCAGCTTGCTGAAGAATACTCTTTTTGTTTTTGAGCAAGTATTTCTTTACAATGTGGGCAAGACTCATTATTGTTATCAGTGACACTTTGAGGAATCCTTAAACAAAGCCATCTCCCAATGTTTTAACCTGTTTTAGGATTTAAATTTTATTATGTGTATGGGTCTTCTTCTCATAATTTCCATTTTCTAAGAGCCTAATCTGATATGAAAGTGGATGCACTTTCCACTCTTTTATCCTGTACTTAGGCTATTTGATTAAACTCAAATCCTACGAATAACCGTCTTTGGCCCCTTGAATCTTCTGGCACTCTCTCATGTAACTCCTCCTTAGACACTCAGCCTCTTCTTGTGCTTTTATTTTTAACCCTTTCCCTCATAGCTCGAGAGAATTCACATCAAAGGTGTTTTTTGGCTAGCTTGTTTTGCATGGGACGATAACACCATAACACCATACAAAGATCTTCTTTCTTTTGTGATTGACCCTCATTGGTGTGCTTATGCAAGCAAGTACCATAGATAATAACTTATATACTCAATCTGTATATACTACTGTCTATTTTTGTAATTATTTTATTTATTGGCTATTTCCAGGAAATTTTTACTTCTTATGTATGTGTTGCTATATATGCAAATGTCTATTTTTTAAGAAACTGTTGAATGGTGCCAATGCAAGGTCATATATCTAATGTATAAAGCTGTTAAAATTTTCAAATATACAGGACCTTTCATATGTAGACTTCAGCTATGCGTGTCTTAAAAATGTGTTCTTCTCACGTGCAAACCTTCAATGTGCTAAATTTCGGGTATGTACTACTGCAGTTCTATTTTACTACGGATGATTTTTGCATTATAAATTTTAACTATTGTTTTTCCTTAAAGAGTGAAAGTAACTTCCATCAGCCTTCATTGTTTTTGTAAATGTGCAAGGATATGAACTGGTAGTCATTAAAAAGAAGCTTTTCAATATATGTTTCCAGGATGATTCAAAATTTAGCATGTTCCCAATAGATTTGTAGTAATGTCGGTGTTTTTGCATTCTGCATAATGTTTATTTCAACAGTTTGTTATATTTTAAGGGTTCATCAAAACATTTTAAATTTGTAAAAGTAGAGTCAATACATTATCTGTAAAGAATGCTTCTAATACATGTTCCATTTGGCGTTTTGAACACACAGGACGCAGATGCTGAGGGCTCAATTTTTCATAATGCAACTTTGCGAGAGTAATAAAATCAATACTTGATTTCATAATTATTACAGTTATCGATTTTTCTGAGAACTTCATTCTTAATAATTTTATTTTGCCTAGGAAGATGTGAATTTACTGGAGCAAACCTTCGAGGGGCCTTATTAGCAGCTGCAAATCTCCAGAGTGCCAATTTACAAGGCACGTTTTCTTTTATCAATATAAATTTCTATACAACACTTATTTTTCTTTAACAAGTTTTTCTCTATCAAATCTTTGCTGGATTGTACTGGAAATCTTGAATTCTGTTTCACACTGAAGGCTCCATGATATTCAATTTTTACTAAAACCTAGTTTTGTCTCCACGAGATATTAGTTTGTCACTTTGGGATAAGTTGCACAGTGCATAAACGTGCTGTTGAATTTTACTACTCAGCTCTAGATAAATATTCCTTTAGTGGACCCTAGACAAAACATTAGCCAAGTGGAAAAAAAGGACCTTGTAATATGTTTATCTCAAATGAGGAAAATTGCTTGACATATATGTGCAATGGCTATGGTAAAAAACAAGTTAAATGGATTGAAAGGATATGATAATGGCAGATAAAAATATGGATTCATATTAAAAAAATACTTAATAATAGTAGTTTCATAGTTTTGATTATTTTTTTAATCTGAATATGGCAGGGTGAGCAACATGTAATCAGGTTTTGGGTATGGTTTTCATTGGAAGAGTTGTTGCTTTATTTTGTCCTATTAAAGCTTTTTAACTTTTATATTTCTTAATGAAAATTTGTTTCAATTTTTTTGTTTTGTTTTTAAAGAGACGGAAGTCTTTTTACAAGTTTTGAACTTTTGATAAATTGGATATTGTCATAATCACTTTTAGGATTAGGAACATTTTTCGAGGGAATATAGGGCATTCTCCCAGTACAAAAGGCAAGGAAATTACCGAAAGGCTCTTAATTTGGCAAACAGTCTTTGCTGGGGAATACCATCAAGAATCAGAGGAAGGCTTTCTTCCAAGTTTTGATAAATTGGATGAGAGAGAATAAGTTCGACTTATTTGTAGATTTGAGATGTAGAGTTTTTAGGGAAAGGGGAAGGTTATACCTTCCTTATAAATTTAATAATTTTGTATACTCTTCAATTACTTTATTCGTCTTTTTTGTCAAAAGTTATTGATTTGAGAAAGAACTATACTGTATCCATCTTCCAATCGGCTGCCAGTAAGTTTTTCTCTTTTCTTATCCAAAAAAATTGCATCTTCTTACGTTTAATCCTTAAAGGAAACACAATTAAATTCATTGCAATGTGGTTCCATCCCTGAATAACTCCCAAACGCAATTGGTTGTCAGTCTACATGAAATTTTATTCGGTAGCTGGCGGCCAAAAGGAAAGAAAGGAAAAGGAAAAAGGAGAAAAAACAACAATAAACTATGGAGCATAATCTTTTCTTCTTTTAGCATTTCTGCTTCACCCTCAGAAGTCTTTCATGTCAAATTGCAGATGCCTGTTTGGTAGATTGCAGCTTCTGTGGAGCAGACTTACGCTCTGCACACCTTCAGGTTCAGTATAAGTATTTGTTTAGGTTTTATATATTTTAATATTGTCATCTTAATTTTCTGGATTAAGAACGTTTCATCGAGAAAATATAGGGCACCCTCCTAGTACAGAAGCCGAAGAAATTACCGCAAGACTCTTAACTCTTGATCAATTAATATTAAAGGAAAGAATCAAGGAAAGAAAAATAAATCTAGAATCTTTTACATCTCTATTTTTTCCTCAAAGAACTCTAATTTCTTCAAGCCACAATTCTCGACAAGCACTGTATTTACCATCTTTCTTATCTTTGTGCCATTGGAAGTTTTTTTGCAACTCTTGACTTGGGGCTTTATTCTCCTCCTCCTTTATGTAAGTTCATATCTTCTATGCAACAAATTGCTTCTGACAAGTAGCTTTCGCTGCATTAAGCACAAGGACTTTGGCTTTTCCTCCCAAAATGAAACAATGCACTGTAGAGGTTGAAACATGATCTTGTTATTTTTGATAAGAAACAAGCTTGAATTAATAATCGAAGAGGAAAATTTTAGATTATACAGGAGTTCTCCAATGGATGGTCAACAAAAGAAACCTGTAACTCTTTAAAAAGATGCTAATTACTAGTTCTAAAAGTAGTTTCATATGAGCTATTTGTCATTCAAGTATTTCACTCAAATGTACATCGTTAGCATTAGAAGTTGACGTGAGTTTTGCTCTGAGTATTGGGGATATTTATTTGCCATCAAGTTTTTTTGTATAGTACGTTGAATCCAAACATCAAACAGGACTTGCAGAATTGCTTGCATTATCATCTCTATGTTGCAGTCTGTTTCCTTATTGAAAAAATGATGATTACAGCTTGTTTCAAATCACTTATTTAACGCTTAGCTGCAGAACCATGTTAGACCAAAGTTCATTATCTTATACCATAGTTTTGAAAGATAACATCATTTAGAATGGGTGTTAATTAGCTAGGGGAAGGAGAACTGGGGGGACAAGTGCGCTGTACACATTTTGATACTTCTGCCAGAGAGAAGTCGAGAAAAATGGACGATTTCATAGATTTTAGATTCTAAATCTCTCCCTCTCTCTATCTCTCTACATATGTAAATCAATCTATCTAATCCTGTTATATATGGAGGTCCTCAAGGTTCTTATGCTGGGCTATTGTTGCAAAAATTTTCAGGGTGCTGATCTAACTAATGCGAACTTGGAGGGAGCTAATCTCGAAGGAGCTAATTTTAAGGTAAAACTTATTTTTTGCACTCGGTTTCCCCAGTTTTAAAAACAAAATTCCCTAAGCTCAACTGGTTGGTGCTACTGGGTAAGAGTAGACGTCTCTACCAGAAGAGTAGTAAACTTCTATTTTTTTAATTTTAATTTTATGGATACATACAAACTATAACTCATTTTCAGAACTTCATAAGGTTTCATACGTCGACAAAGACGTGTGGGTGCACTATTGTAACTTTCCATGATTTAACCTTTGTTCTTTGTATGATATATTGTATGATATATATTCATGGTTTCCATGTTTGTTGACCTTAATACATAAAGCAAAATTCTTCAACGTTAACTAGCTACATAGAAAAATTGTTTGTTTTGCAAGAAGTTTGATTTACATCCTGACCCTTCCCGGGGACTTTGTGGTCTAGGGTGCAAAACTTACAAATGCCAATTTGAAGAGTGCAAACCTACAACGAGCCTATTTGCGACATGTGAACCTTCGAGAAACGGTAAGTAAACCAAGTCAAATTCAAAGATCATATGGACTTGTTCTCGCTCATTATTTCTACTTCCATCAGAAACTACATCCGCCTATTATTTCTGCCATTAGTACGACGAATTAAAATAATCTTCTTTCATATTCTAACTTCAACTCGATGTCTACTTAATTTTGTAGCGTTTGGAAGGTGCAAAGCTTGATGGGGCAAATTTACTGGATGCAATCAGATGAACAAGTATTAAAGGTGTATGATTCAAGGAATATCGCTATGCTCTTATGGATGTGGTATGTACATATAGTGTCATTTTATTTCCCTGTTCCATAATAATAATAATTATGTGAGCTTAATCTAAGCCGATGCTTAGTACACATTATTGACCTAATTTACCCAATCATTTCACTGTTTCTTGCTCCAAATCTCTACACATGCCTGTATATATTGTTCGATTTCGGTCATCTCTCGTGGACTGCAGTCCCAATTTGCTGCTGTTTCATAGCTCTCAATATGGCTCATTCCATGCCTATTGTGAAGTTATGTAATAGTATGCTAGCTTCATATTGATAGTTAGAACGACGAGATGTTGGGAAATCCAAATAGATCTTTTCTTAGGCAATTCTTTGAAACAATGCATGGCTTTTATTAGTTGATATCATTAGCTTCATGTGACGGAGGATTCAAACTTCCGACCTTCAATTGAGTTTTGGTTACGTCCACCTTGATTACGTCAATTTTGTATGATTGAAGTATCATATTTTGTCATTTTTTAGAGTTGGGAGAAATTGTAGGGTGGGAAGTTTTTAAGTTTCACAGTGCATTAGAGATGAAAGAGAGAGGAGACTGAAAATTTTACCCGTAATCAGCCTGAAAGTTAAAATATATACTTTATTAGATATAAATTTGAGTCTTCCGTTTATAATTCCCTCATTATTTATATATAATTTGTAATTCTTTTGTTATTTTTATATAATTCGTGATTAAGCTTAAGTAGGTCCGAGGTCCCTAAATTTGAAAATTTTATTTAATTTAAAAAAGAAAAAGAAAAAAAATCATGGTGATTCTATGTTATTTTCTATGGAAAAATTGAAAATTTTCTTTATATAAATTTGTCAATTTAAAAAAATTCTTTTCAATTTTTTGTTTTTTATGGAATTCTTTTCAATTTATACCTACATACTTTTGCAAAAAAAATTACACGTACATATTTATCATCTTTTTGGTGTAATTATTGCCGACAATTTTGAAGTTTATTTTACTTTTCAATTTATACATTGTTATTACATATAAGTAATATTTKTTTATASGCGATCCAGTATTTTGAAGCATATAACTTCAAATATTAGATTTTAGTATGAATCCATGTTTACCGTATGAAGATATCCTGCGTTTAGATCGAACCTTATGCATCACATCCTATGATGGCTATTTGAAAGATTCACTTTATTATTTTCTTTTCTTGCGTACAATAGGTAAAGGTAGAAATTTGAACTTACAATTTTTTGGTTGAAGATAGATGTCTTTTTAACTAGTTGAGCTTTTGACATTCACTTTATAATTCTTAGATCTCTATTACTTGTTTTTATTATTATCATTTTTTTAAAATTAATATCTCAATTCCAACTCACTTATAGCCAAAAGGGGAAAGGATCCTTAGCCTTCGTAGTTTTGTATTTTGACAGCCCTACACGCTAAAACATGGGATTCTTGTTTCATATGCACAATCGCAAGTAACATCGTCTGATTTGTCTTCTCTTGCACTTCTTCTATGAGCCAACACATTTCGACAAGGTCAATATCTTCAATTTTATTTTTGAAAAAAATACACTTTTGGTTTTGGTTTTGGGTGCAGGTGTCTATTTAATCCCTCAAGTTTTATTTTTTGGTCCATAAAATTTAGAATATGTATCTATTTGGTCCTTGAAAATAAACACATTTGGTCCATGGAATTTGTAAAATGATTCTAAAYGATCCTTAAATTACTTTGATCGTTAGTTGACTAACATCAAAATGATGTGACAGTTGATTTGCTTACTGTACTTTGTTAATTTGACAAAATATATTAGTTTAATAATATTTATAGTGTGACTGGACATTCCATCTCCTTCCCTCTTCTCCTCCGACGAACCTCACCATYGTCATTTCTATATTTCCGCTGGTCGTCCCGTTGCCTTAGGCAACATACCTCATCATCGTCAAGGCTTCTCGTTCTGGATAACACTCAAATCATTTGCTGTAATTTCGTTCAATTTCATCCTCGAACGTAGGCCTCACTTTCAAAACCAAAGATCAATGAAGTGGCGCAAAAATAAGAGAGAGACTTACGTCTACGCCTGGGATGAAATTGGACGAAATTGCGACAAATGATTTGAGAGCTTATACAGAATGAGAAGCCCCGGCGACGGCGAGGTATGTTGCTTAAGGCAACGGGACGATCGGCAGAAGTATATAAATGGTAGTGGTGAGGCTTGCCGGAGGAGAAGAGGGAAGAAGATCGAATGTCCAATCACACTATAAATGTTATTAAATTAATATATTTTGTCAAATTAACAAAGTACAGTAAGCAAATTAACTGCCACGTCATTTTAATGTTAGTCAACTAACGATCAAAGTAATTTAAGGACCATCTAGAATATTTTTACAAACTTAAGGACCAAMCTATATTGAAATATATAAAAGAATTTTGCTACTGATTCCAATATAATTTTTTTTTTCAAAAAACAGTTGAGTACAGAGTAGAATGATTAGAAGGCGTTTTAGCATATTAGTATTAAAACTGAATACAAAAATTAAGAAACTTAATTAACAGCTAAACTTCCAATAATTAGTGTGTAGAAATTTAGCAAAAATATTCTCACGTGAAGTTTATTTTTAGAATTGTTAATAAACTTGTTAGAGAATTTTATGTCATTACCGGACTAGTAGATCTTGCAGGAGATGAGTTGCCAGTCACTCCGCCTTGGCTGGTGCCACCTCGGTCCATATTCAACTATTTGCACATAATTTTAGTTGAATTATTGGATGAGAATGGAAATTTTGTAAAAGAAATAAGAGTGCCATTACCGTAATAAGCTCCTGGAGTTGCTGTTTAAGAGTATCAACCTCTTCTACAGTTTTGCTCAGAATCCCCGCGCAGTTGTTTAGCCTCATTTTAATTTCGTTCGGATCCATTTCATCTGAAAATCATGAAATAGTTAGAGATGGATAAAAAAAAGAAATGGAAAATCAGGGAGGGAGAGGAATTTTGAGGTCGAGGGGATTTGAAAGCGCRGAAAAGAGGTGGAGAGGGAAGTCGTGATTCTAATTTCTAACTAATTTGTTTTCTGATTTTTTTGAGTTTTTTTTTTTTCAAGAGTTACGCAATTGCAAGTAAAACAACTGCAAATAAGTACAGCAGCAAATTATGGCCAAAAGATATCTAAACTTTTTGCGAAATCTTCACGATTGTAAATCTAAAAACAGATAAATCAATCAGGATATATCGGAATCATGCACTATCGAGAAAGCAAATGAATACCGAACAATCAAACTCAAACTGTTTCCTGCAGAAGAAAAGAAATTAGCGATCGATGGAGCTCAAGTTCCACAGATAAGAAAGACGATGGAGTTTGTAGTTCTCGAAAAGTATGAAGGCTGAGCGGAAAACATTCATAAAGTCGAGCTTAGCTTGTAAGAAACGAAAAACAGAGAGAGAAGCTAGGGCTTCGAATTTGAAAAGTACAATGCGAGAAGAGCAGCCATGGATCCAAACAAGAACGAAACAAATCATCGAAAATAGCCATTCACTTAAATAATTAAATTCAACACTCACAATGGATCATGATATATCGGAATCATGCTCTATCGAGAAAGCAAATGACGAAAACTGTTTCCGGMAAAAGAAAAATTAGCCAATCGATGGAGCTCAAGTTCGATAGATAAGATTCAGAAACGATCGAGTTTAGTTCTTGAAAAGTATGAAGGCTACACAGAAAACATTCATAAGAGATCGAGCATAAACAGAGGCATAATCGAACTCCAGTAAGTATGAAATGAAAAACAGAGAGAGGCAATAAGCAAAAGCAAAACATCGATCAATAAGAAATGAAAAACATAAAAAACAAGTCGGTAGTAAAAACTTCCATGGATCAAAGCAATAACGAAACGAATCATACAAATTTATCAAACGAAACAAATTCATTCATACATGAACAAGAAAAGCAATTAACAGTGACAGAGGGAGGGAAGATGATTGAATCAGAAACAAAGAAGCAAAAAAAATCGAGCGAGAGTGGAGAACCTTGAGAGAAATCGATCGAAAGATCAGAAATGGAGCAGAAATTTCAGTTGTGCGTGAAAAGAAAAGCAAGCGATTGAATGTTCATAGAATAAAGGGATGGAGGAGGAGGGATGATGATTAAATTGTGCCTCCAAACAGAATTTCTTCCAATTGTACCCCTGAACCTAGCCTAGCCGCTTTCCCTCGTTCCACTGGTCCGGACCRACATAATTAAGTGATAATTGACATATATCTCCAATTAAGAGGTTGTAAGTTYGATCCTTACTCCTCAATATTACCATATTATTCACTCTATATTCTATGCCTCTRAGATTAAGACCATCACTTATTCGATTTAGATCTAGAATAATTTTGTTCTTTTGGTACATCTTCCCATGCATCCTAACCTGACATTTATTGAAATATGGAAGAGTTTCTCRCAACAATGAAACTAAAGGATAGAGGTCTAGCAACAACTAACCGTTGGTTGCTTTGGAACGATTGAATAATAAATTAAATTTATGCAATTCATAAATTTAAACTTCTACGTTGAGTAGTAGTTTCCAGCATGCTAACAAATTGTCCGACCAGTTGACCAATTCTCAAATTCCTTCTCAGATTTGTCCTCTTTTGCCTTGGACCCTCCTCCATTTAATTACATCAAATTAAATGTGGTAACTGTGAGACTGCTTGAAGAGGGTCTTTCACCGGTGAAGAGGGTCTTTCACCGGTACGTGTTCAAGTCCTCGATGTCGGTCTTCTACCCTCGTTAGTTGAAATTCGGGAGATTCTTAAAAGTCTCAAGTTGGTTTAGCTTCCATCTTCAAATGAAATCCAACTCTCTCTTACGAGGATTCTCCCTCGTGAAGTCGTGATAGCAACGGAACTACTCATATGTCAGCTCGTTATTTAGTCTCATCACTTTTCTTTGTGGCTTTTGAAAACTGTTCACAAAATATCCCTGAAGATAGTCCACGTGGCTTTGAATTTCTAAAGTAGTTATTTATTTCGCCAATAAAATAATTGTCTTTGTGTCTTATTTGGAAGCTTTTGATTGGAGAAGCGTGGGAAGGGGTAAAATTCAAATAAAGGAATAGAACTCAAACAGCGCAGTCCAAACAAGGTCTTAATCGGCGGACAAAGTTATAGCATTGACCAATAAAGGAATCCAAGACTTTGCCCATATTCCCCTCCTGCCCTTCTCTATATCATTTATTCACCATACTACCCTACCCTTACCGTTTTAATTTATAACTAGTTCTAAAATATGCATTTTTGGAAGAAATTCTATCCTAAAAGTTAATTTTAGTACAACAAACAATTAACTTTTAGCATAGAATTTCTTGTTGTACTAAAATTAACTTTTAGGATAGAATTTATTTAATATATATATATAAATCTTCTTATTAAATGTGAAATTCTTATAAAGAATGAGATTTAGAAAGACATGAATTATATTTCTTAAAAAGTTAGAGTTTTTTTTTCTAGTGAGAGATGAGAGTGTGAGAATAGGAGATGAGGGGAAGGAAAATCTTGAGAGGGAGAGAACTATGAATGAATCGACGACTAGGTAGAAAATAGAGGAGATGAGAATGTATTTCTCATTTGTGTMCTCATTGGGTTAAGGGACAATGTAGTGCGGGAAAAAAATACTTCAGTGGTGATTTGAACCTTCAACCTATAAGGTTGATTACATATGTTTGAATCTATGTTCAAGTTGGGAACTTAAAGCATCAATATTCCCTTTTGAAAGTTGTAGGTTCAAATTATGATCTCAATATTTAAATAATAATACTAAAATACTAAAATATTAAAGTTTTTATTAATTGAGAGATSAAGTTTATCTGAGAGAGATAGAGGTTTATATATAAATTGTTGGTCGAGATATATGCTTTAACAACCATACTCACGTTGTCTCTTCAATCATCTATTATTACTTTCAATATATGAGAGGTGATGATTCGAACTCATGATCTCTTTATCGGAGATAAGTGTCTTAATTTGTTGAATTATACTTAGATTAATTTCGATAATCTATTATGAATTACAAAAAATAACTATGCATGGATATTAAATAATATCATGTTAAATAAATGTTTGTCATTTTAATTTTGTTGGAGGCATACTATGCCACATGTCAGCATTGCGAAGGTACTTGGACTAAAACTTGTTTTAGATTATAATAATTTGTTTAAGTCCTTTTAAGGTTGGAAGTAGAGGTATGAGCTGAGCTGACCATTCTCTACCATAAGTCTATTTAAATGGTCCGAGCCAACTTGAAAGTGCATTTAAGGGAATGTCTTTAAATCCGACAACACGCCGTATTTTACGGACGGTCGGACGGACTCTTGTCAGATCCAATATCTATAAATAGAGATGTCTGCGCTTAATACAAAGTACGTGATTCCGTTTGCATTCATTGAGTTAGATTGGATAAGAGTTAACTAGCTCGTTAGAGTGCTAACCTTGTTTTGTAGGTTGAGGACTAGAAAGATCATCCTCTGCGCTCCGACCTAAGTGGATTCTAAACTTATCTTTTTAGGATCTAAGAAATTTGATCTCTATGAGTCGATTAAATCACTTACAATATCTCTAAATCTGTCAACTATCAACAATTTTTCTTTTATTTTTTATGAAATTGATAGCTCATATCCGGTTTCTTTTTTGTTTTTTGTTTTTTGCGATTGTACATTTTTCGATTGAATATCTGGTTTTCAAATAATTCGAATCAGCTCATAATTCAATGATTAAATAAAAACAGAGGGTAAATTTGGAAAGTGAAGTTTCTTGGCAATGCATAATAATTCTGCTGCTTTTTATCTCTCCCACGCTTTGTCTGGTGAGTCTCTGCTTTTAAATTGCCTCCGAGCTCCAACCTGTACAACTTCTTCTTCTTCTTCTCTCTCTCTCTCTCTGCCTGAAACCAAGATTTCCTCCGAATTCTCCGATTATCAGCTATGCAGGTACCCAATCACTGAATTTGCGCTACTGTTTTAATAGTTTTTGCTATCCGATTTTCGTAATCAGCTTCAATTTTCGCTTGGTTTTAATCTTGATTTGTTATGTGCTCAGTCTCGGACGCGGACGGTTCAAGTAAACCATGTTTCGGATCTAGCTACTGAGAGAGAGATTCACGAGTTCTTCTCCTTCTCTGGCGAAATTGAGCACATAGAGATCCAGTGGTAGGTGCATTTCTATGCTGCGCTACTGTTTGTTGTGTGTCTGTGTGAACAGAACTGCTAAAAAGTGAAAAAAAGAAGAAGATATGATGTTCATGATTAATTTCCTTTGCTATGTGGCTGATTTGGATATTTTTAGGTTTAAAAAGTAGTAGGAAATCAGGATGAAGCATGAGAGTTTTTGTGCCTTTCCCCTATTTGTTTTTTATGTTTTTCTGTTCGATTATTGTCTTGTGTTCTTCTCAACAAATGTTCACGAATGCGAGTGTTGTAATTGTTGTAGCCGAGGGGTAATTAAGGAACCCCTCTCACCAAAAAGGAAAGAAAAAAGATATAGAAGGGTCTGATGGATTGCAACTTTACTTTATAAAGAGCATGGTGTGTGGTATAAGCAATTATTTGATTGATATTTTAATTTACTATTGTCGGTGCAGTGAACATGGGCAATCAAAGACTGCGTTCGTGACATTTAGAGATCCAAAAGCTCTTGAAATCGCCTTATTGTTATCGGTAATTCCTCACCTGGTTTCTCTTTCTTATCCCCGGAGTCAGTTCTCGTGATGTGCTTCTGGAACTTTTCATCCGTTTTTTAACGAATATCAATGTCTTTCGGTCGTAATTTGGTTCATGAGGGTCTGAATTTGGAAGCTTTAGGTAGTTGAGTGCAGTTCTTCATCTTCTGACCTCAGATGTATTAGTTGTTCAATTTTAGTGTCTAGTTACTTCTACTTCTATTTCCTAATTACTTTTCTTTCATTCCTTCATTTCTCGCCATGAGTTTTGATTTAATTGAAAAGTGATGGATGAGTAAAGAAACTATAAAATCTGTAAGTATTATATATATACTTTTTGAACGAGGATAAACTAAGAGCTTCCTGTTTCTGTTGATCACCACCCTACTATTTATAATTTAAAAAAAAAAAAGTTATCTAACTAACGTTGAAAGAGGATTGTTGCTTTCGCTCATTTACCAAGAGCATGTTTTGGAGTTTGTTTCAAAATAGTTTTTTATTTTTTGTTTTTATAATGTTTTTAAGAACTATGATGGATGCCTTCAGGTTATCGTTATTTTTCATCTGCAATGATTTTTTATAAGTCTATAATTCTGGAGTGAAAATCAACTCAAGAAAAGCAAGGATGGAAAAAAAAAAAACTTTGAGGGCAAGCAGAAGTCTATAAGCATCTACCTCATGTAGTCTTGTCTTTACTTTTTATAACCAATAAAAGCAATAGGGAGAAGGAATACGTAAATGGACATATTTCTGGAAAAAGAAGGAAGTTAATGCCTTTTCATTGCATGATCTTTTCTTCACGCAAGAATAGAATTGTACTTTTTTTTAAAAAAATTTTTTTTAATATTTTTTTTATAACTTGCTGATGCCCTAAGCTACTATAAACAAATTGTAAGCATACTCCAGTACTATACGGGTACTCTCTGGTTCGGTTACGAGAAATTCTATTCCTATTGAGTAGGCTTTGAACTGAAGAATTAAAAGTAATTTTTTAATTTTTTAATTTTTGCTATTTAGGGAGCTACAATTGTAGACCAGATTGTGAGCATATCTCCTGCTGAAAACCATGTACCAAAACGAGAAATTCAGGTATTCTTCTAACATGTGTCTGAATGTGTTTTCGGCCCCCTATAGCTGTTTATTTTATGTTCAATATTTTAAATTTACAATGTTTTCAGGAAGTACGGGTTGTGGACAATGCTGCCTGCCTTACTACAGAAAATAATTTGCCCAGTAATGAGGTAAATGTGTTATTACCGCTCAATTAATGTCAATTGTTTGAGTAACATTTTGTTTCATGTTGGCGACTATTAATGGAAATCAAAAGCTGGTGAGTGTCATGTCATCAAACGAAAAACATTAGGACATGTTTTCTCTTAACATATTTCTCGTTTCCAGCTTTAGAGTTTCTTAAATTGATGTTGATGGATGGATAAAAATAAAATGTCCATTTAATGCATGCATCGTGAACCTCACTACACAAGCTATAGGTGAACTGGTGTAACAGTTTCACACTTAGGGTCCATAACCTGACTTAGTTTTCTTGTGGATCTTGGTTTCCTTGTTTTATTTAACCCTACAAGCGGATGGCGAGGCACTTTTCTTTTTTCTCACCTTAATCTTCTATGTTTACAGGATTCTGCGAGCCAGCCTAGCGGTGGAAGAATGTATGTTAATAGAGCACAAGAAGTAGTTGCAAGTGTGCTTGCTAAAGGTTCAGCAATTGGACAAGATGCCATGAACAAGGCGAAAGCATTTGACGAAAAACATCGGTTAACAGCTAGTGCATCTGAGAAGGTATTATCCTTTGACAGAAGGGTTGGGCTCACAGAGAAATTGACAGTTGGGATTTCAGTGGTTAACGAGAAAGTCAAGTCTGTAGATCAAAGGCTTCATGTTTCAGATAAAACAATGGCTGCAATCTTCGCAGCTGAGAGGAAACTAAATGATACAGGATCTGCGGTCAAAACAAGCAAGTATGAATCATCACTCTTGAGGAAACATTAGTTGGCATTTTTATTTGCTCTGCTCTATTCTGTTAGCTTCTTAAGAAACTTTCATTTCCCAGAAGAAAGAAAGAAGCAGAAAACTATTTATATTTTAAAACGGATTTCAAACGATCCCCAAGAGTTTCAAGAGAGGAGAACTGTTGATTGATGTAGATGAAAGTGAATTAATTTGTTTCACTTCAATTTGGTGTTCAAATTTGGTGTTGAACAGGTATGTGACTGCGGGTGCTGCTTGGCTAAATGGTGCTTTCGGAAAGGTTGCAAAAGCGGGGCAGGCTGCAGGTTCTAAAACCAGAGAGAAATTCCATTTGGCTATGTCAAACTTAACTTCAAAGGTGCGTTTATCAAACCCTTCTATTATGCATCTTAAGAGTCGGGATTGTTCTGAAAATCGATTCACTTGATTAGCCTTATAAAACAGCACGTCTGGAAGAACAATGTTAGTGACAACAACTTTAAAAACTTGTTACTCAAATATGTGTTTTGTTTTGCCATTTCATTCATGTTTCCTTCTGTTGGATAACAATTTAGTTTTTATTTTTCTGTTTTCAAAAATTATGTTAGTTTCCTCACAATTTTTTTTACCTGTTTTCTACCATTCTTAAAAATACATTTGAATTCTAAGGTAAATTTAAAAAACAGAAACAAGTTATTTGGTAACGTTTCTATTTGAGATTTTATGTTGAAATCAAGTTTCCTTCTATTTTTCAACAAAATAAAAAGTAAAGAACAAGAAATAGTTACAAAATGCAATTATGTTTTTCTTTATTAAAAAGGAGGAAACAAGAGACCAAAAAATGGGAAATGGACCTTAAAAGACTAATAATTTTTCTTTAGTCTTTAGAATTTGGCTTAGATATTTTGGAACGATTTTAACAAGCAGGTAACAAAACGAAGAAACAGGTAGTGTTTATAAGCTTATGTTTAAAAAAATGGAAAACCAAAACCAAAATATTTATCAGGCTGAGGCATAGCTAATAGATTTAGCCAAATTCATTCCCAAAAAGCTTCCAAAAGGAGAGAGCTCTCTGAAACCTCATTTCTGACAGTCCCAAGTGAAAACACCGTCCCTCAATGGATAAAAGTTTTTGAACTCTTTACGACCTCTAGGGGTTCAGATATTTTTCAGAACAAGCAAATTTAAAAGCCCCTACCATATAATGAACTAAAATTAGATCCATTTAATCATGTAATTCACTCTCTACACCAGTTTGTGTGAAATTCTCTCCAGTTTGAGAAACTGTAGTAATTGGCCATTGTTTTTCAAACATGCAGGAACCTCCAGTTGTTGCCTAACCTTAGAACTTGGGCTTCTGGAAAGTCATTTGCCTTTGGCTGCTTTGCTTGCATTTTCAATGGGTTTCAATTCTATTTTCTTCAGCTCATTTAATTTTGAGGACTCTGCTGATGATCTATTGTTTGTTTTTGTTGTCTTTAGTAATTATTTATTTATTTTATTTTAATATTGTTCATATTCTTTAATTACAAGGGTGTCTGGCTGTTGACAATTTTGCATTTCTAAGATTGGTTATGAAAGTGTAAAGAAAATCTAGTTGCCAATTATGTCTTATTTTAATATTGTTCATAGTCTTGTGGGCTTTGTGTTTGGATTTTTATTTTGCTTTTATATTTATATTTATTTATTTATGTATTTTAACCTTCATATTTAACTTTGAATAAGTCGTGAAATTAAAGTCTTAATGCTCCTATTACCATCCTTGAGATCAAATATTCAATCCTTGCATTTGTTGTATAAAATAAAATAAAATAATAATAACTAAAATTTTATTAATAATTCACCCGCAATCTAATTTAATTAAAATTAGCTAGGCTTGTACTCTTTTTAGTTCGAGATCGTAATAGGAGTAAAAATATAATTCAATATGTTTATGCAGAGATGTGCACAACAGTGTGTTCCTGATTGTAGCTCGAAC